GGGTGCTCCTGGAAAGATCTTACTTTTTAAGATGGCAGGTAAGGGGCCTTCAGTTGGAGAATCTTGCCAGCTGTTTCTCAAAGCCAAAAATATCTTACTGTCTGAAACATGTGGTCCTGAGTAGTTCAAGTTGACCCATGTAGATTTATATTTGCAGAGCCGCCAAGGAAGATTAGGAAAAAATGTGTCCGATCTTACTCAACTCTGAACATTGCATGAGTCAGACATTTTCCTAGCTCTCTGTTTGTGTAATAGGTTCATGCTTATGGATTCTTGGCGATGTATCTTTCGCGAACAAAATTCAAAAGAGACCATTCAAAGGGCCTCCCACGAAAGCTGCTGCAGAGCCCAGACATTCAGGAGCCAAGAGTGAAGGGAGCAATAGCCATCTCTCAATGTTCACCGAGACTTTGCGAGCCTTGGGGCAAGTTGGCGATGCCAAAACATGTCTTAGGGCACGTTTATCAACATACAGGTCTTGAGTGGGATCGGGAGCCTCCACAGATGTTACCGAAGTAAAGGGGGAGGCGGTAGCTGAATAATCTCTTATCATCCCTAAAGTGCAAAGTGAAATGAGAATGGAGTTCTTCCAAATCCACTTGGAGTGAGTCCTGAAAGACTCACTTTTACAGCAATCCCCACAATGACATCATCAAGGCAGAGGTTATATAATTTAAAGCCACGTTTCCACAGAGCTTCCCAGAAGAGAAAACACCTCCGAAGGCAGCTCTCACCATCAGAAAACCCACCTAAAGTTGTGAACACCTTCATTTGCTGCCTGAGTAAGTAAATGACCACCTTTTTTTTTTTTATGAGAGTACAATATAAGAGGAAATCTGTGTCTCTTAGAAAAACAAAAAACTTCCTTTTGCCCATAGTCCCAGCTACTCAGGAGGCTGAGGCAGGAGAATTGCTTGAACTCGGGAGGCAGAGGTTGCAGTGAGCCAAGATCGCGCCATAACACTCCAGCCTGGTGACAGAGTGAGACTCCGTCTCAAAACAAACAAAACAAAACAAAACTTCCTTTTATTCCTACCTATTAGCAAAATTTTCTGCTTCTGTGAGGGAACTTTTAAAAAATAATTCTAAATCAATTTAAGAGACTTTTATTTCATGCCTAGTTTGGGTCTTAATTGCTTTTCCAGAACAGGAGGAGGCGGGACAGGTTTTAGAACTGTTGGGAGGCTTCCAGTAGCTCCTCCTATCAAGATCAAGTGAAACTTGTCAGGGCTGAATGCAGCCACCGAAGCTCGCCTGGACTCTGACCAGTTACAGCCTGCAAATTCCAATATATAAAAATTAAATGCCGGGCGCGGTGGCTCAAGCCTGTAATCCCAGCACTGTGGGAGGCCGAGGCGGGTGGATCACAAGGTCAAGAGATCGAGACCATCCTGGTCAACATGGTGAAACCAAGTCTCTACTAAAAATACAAAAAATTAGCTGGGCGTGGTGGCGCGTGCCTGTAATCCCAGCGACTCAGGAGGCTGGGGCAGGAGAATTGCCTGAACCCGGGAGGCG